GGAGACACTAACAAATTTTCCGTATCAACAGGCAGCCAAAACCCCAGAAGAATATACAACATTTGAGCCAGATTAACAAACACAACTTAATTGAGGTATATACTACACTAAACACAACTGTAAAATGCACATTTTTTTTCAAGTGCTGTTGGAACTTTTACCAGAATTGTCCATAAGTTGGTCCATAAAGCAAGTCTCAACAGATTTCAAAGAACTGAAATAATACAAAGTTTGTTCTCTGACCAGAATGGAATTAAACTGGAAATGACAAGAGCACTGATCTATCAAAACAGAAGCTGGTCCAGGGGCTGGTACTAAGTAGTGGAGGCCTCCTGCTGTGGTAAGCATTAACCCTTTAGTTGCTAGATGATAATCAGTAGGTCCTAGCTGTCCTGAGAAAGGAATTGGGGTGGCCAGGGTAACTGGGTAAGTGTTGGAGAGACTAAGAAAGCCTGGGACAGTGCCTATTTACAAAATGGACTAGAAATACTTTTATTTTTTTATTTTTTACTTATTTATTTATTTTTTTTATTGCATTTTAGGTTTTGGGGTACATGTGCAGAATGTGCAAGACAGTTGCATAGGTACACACATGGCAGTGTGTTTTGCTTCCTTTCTCCCCTTCACCCACATTTGTCATTTTTCCCCAGGCTATCCCTGCCCAGCTCCCCTGCCGCTGGCCCTCCCCTTTTCCCCCCAATAGACCCCAGTGTTCAGTACTCCCCTCCCTGTGTCCATGTGTTCTCATTTTTCATCACCCTCCTATGAGTGAGAATATGCGGTATTTCATTTTCTGTTCTTGTGTCAGTTTGCTGAGAATGATGTTCTCCAGATTCATCCATGTCCCTACAAACGACATGAACTTATCATTTCTGATTGCTGCATAATATTCCATGGTGTATATGTGCCACATTTTCCCAATCCAGTCTATCATCAATGGGCATTTGGGTTGGTTCCAGGTCTTTGCTATTGTAAACAGTGCTGCTATGAACATTCGTGTGCATGTGTCCTTATAGTAGAACAATTTATAGTCCTTTGGATATATACTAGAAATACTTTAAAAATTCATATGGCCATATGATAATGAATCTGTGGAATATCAGCCCTGTTTAGTAGGCCAATGATAGAATTGGATACTTAGAAAAGAAGAAAGTGTGAAAATGAAGGAGCTGAGCAGCATGCAACTCTACTAGTTAAAAAAGAACAGAATAAATCCAAAGAAAGTAGAAGAAACAGAGTAATGATGAAAAATACTTAAATACAAAATAAAGATAACAGAAAGGATCAAAAAGTCAAAAGTTGATTATTTTAGAATTATAAAAATGACAAACTTATAGCAAGATTGATAAGAGAAAAAAGAAGGTACAAATAAATATTATAACAAAAGAGAAGCTATCACTACAAATGCAACAGATAAAAAGATGCAAAGATAGGAGCTTTACACAAAATAAATCTGAAAACTGATGTGAAGCAGAAAAATTCCTAGAAAGCCATAACTTAGGAAAGCTTAAGAAAGCTGACTTTAGTGGAAATAGCAAACTGAAAGGACTCTATAACTGATATAAGAAATTGTATCAGTTAAAATGTTAAAGGAGACACCAGGTCCAGATGGTTTTACCTGGAAATGCTGCCAGGCAAAATATTTGAGGAATGGATAGTTCTGCGGACAACCTCTGTCAGAGGACAGAATGAAAGGGAATAGTTCCCACCTATTTTATGAGGTTAGTATAATTTTGATACTCTTGGAAGAATTACAGGCCAATCTCTTTCCTGAGCAATATGCTAAAATCCTAAACAAAATATTAGTGAAAGAAATTCGGATGTTTTTATTTATCCCAGGACTGCAAGATTATTTCAACACAAGAAAAACTCTATTGTAATGTACCATGTTAATGGGTTAAAATAGAAAATTAATGTAATTTCAGTGAATACAGAAAACATGTTTAATAAACTTCAGCATTCATCCATCTTTTAAAAATTGTATTGGCAAACTTGGAATAAACAGGAACCTCTTTAACCTATTAAATGGTATCTACAAAAAAAAAAAAAAACTACAGCAAATTTACCCAATAGCGAAACTTAGAATTGGGATCGGAATAAGAATATACACAATTAACATTTCTTTTCAACATGTACTGCACACCTCGTGTGTGTGTGTGTGTGTGTGTGTGTGTGTTAAAGGTGGGATGTCTTAGCAGTGTAATAATATAAGAAAAAGATAAAAATAAGGGTTGTAGGGAAAATGAAAGCTGTCATTGACATACAAATTATGAAAACTCACAAGAAAGTTTAGCAGGTTTGCTAGTTACAAATTCATGACATGAAAAACAAGTACAGTTGTATTCATTAGCAACATACTGCTATAAAATTTAACTTTCTAAAAAGGTACTATTCAAGATAGCAACAAAAAAGTAAAAAATCTTACAATGATGCACAAGCCTTTTAGCAATTAAATTATAAAACTTCACTTAACATGAAAAGGTCTGAATATATTGAGTGATATACCATGTTTAGGGAAGACTCAATGTCACAAAGATGGCAACTCTCCTCAAATTGATTTGATTTACAGATTGTAATTTCCATCAAAATCCCAAAAGTTCTCTCTCTCTCTCGCTCTGTGTGTGTGTGTGTGCATGTGTGTGGTGTGTGTGTGTGTGTGTGTGTGTGTGTGTGTAATTTGGAAAGCTGATTCCAAACTTTATGGGGAAGAGCACTGGGCCAAGAATAGCCAAGACACTCCATAAGAAGAGGGACAAAGTGGACTTGCTCTACCAGGATAAAGGTACACAAATGTCCACTGCACTATTGTGCATAATCAAAAATTAGAAACTACTCAAATGTTCAACAACAGTAAGATGGATAAATAAACTGTGATATATTCACAAGGGGAATAAACAAACTACAACTGCATACAACAACAACATGGGTGGTTCACAGAAACATAATGTTGGATGAGAAAAGAATATGCACAGCTGTTCAAGCACTTTACATGTTAATGTATTTCATCCTCAGAATAACATCATTAAGTGACTATGTGTCTTCTAGAGAGGATGCTCCAAGAAAAGGGTGATTTAGACTTTTCAGGGATCAACAGACTGGCCTCCCTAGCAGGAGGTGAACCAGACATTGCCCAGACTCGGCAACCACTATCTAAGATTTTTGCCTCTGTGGTCTAATAACATTTAGTCAAATATTAATGAATGGCTGTCTTGTGACCACAGAGCCCCATTCTTGGTTATGGTGAGTGGTAGAGTGGAAGTAGCACAGAATGGCTGTTTAATGAGCATCTACTATGTGCCAGGATCAGGGCCTGATGTTGAGGATACGATGGTAAGTAAGATCACACACCTACTTTCTTGTTTAAACAACAAGAACAATAGTAATAATGATAATTAACAATTATTGAGTGTGTACTATGTGCTGGACACTCTTCTAAGCATGTCACATGCTTTAGCTCATCTAATCCTCACAACTACACTGTTATTAAATTCCTTTTACAGGTGAGGAAACAGAAGCCTAGAAAGGTTAAGACACTTGTCCAAGGTCACAGAGACAGGGGGAGATAGAGCTGGGATTCAAACCTAGGCAGTCTGGATCCAGAACCTCTGAATCAGTGAACTACCCCCAGAAACACTGGGCCATAGGCATTAATCCTGTTTTATAGCTGAGGAAAGTGACACTCCAAACTAAAGTGAGCACATATTTATTTTTCACCTTCTATTTGATAGAGACTATATTAGGTGATTTACATATATTATCTCTACAACATGAAAGACACAGTTCCCAGGACTATAAGCATTCTATTCTGGAGGACCCATGTATGTAGAGAATGGCTTGTCACCTAAACCCACATCCCTTTGGAAAAGACCAAGAGTGGCTGGCTGGGTGAGGGTACCTCTCAGTCTCCAGGCTCCTAGATCTCCAGATGAGTAAGTGAAACAGCTGGTGGAGAGAAGAAGGAGAGAGAACAAGAGCCTAGTCTTTTTCCTTCCTCTTCCCCCACCCACGCCCTGTATACTATAACTATATGTAACATCCTATATGCTCCTGGATCCTCTAAGCAACTACTGCTACCCCCAGTATCCCTGAGCCTGGGCCTCCTCTAGCATTAACAGAGTAGAAACTTGGTCAGCTGGCCTTTGGGGTGTCTAAGTCTCACAGTCCACAGCTGCCTTATCTTCACCCACCTTATGTCCCCTCAGGCCACAATCCCTGGGCTGGATGCACCTTGGTCCACCACTGTCGCCTGTTATCTATGGGAAATGGTATATTCCATTTTTTAAAAATATGTACAGGTTTTATTTGCTTTTTTTTTGCCCTTCATCTTTCTTAAATTTTCAAAGTGAGCACCACACCAGTGGGCTAGCCCTGAGAGACTGCCTCTCTCAAATTCCCAAAGCAGCAAGGGGGTCCATATGTGCCAGGAAGGCAACACTGGAGACAGGACATTGAGTGCTTCCCAACCTAGGCAGGTACAGACTCAGAAAAGGCCTGAGAAAGGAGAGGAGCAATGGCATGACCAGTGGCATGGCACTGCTGCATACCCAGCACCTGTCCCTTGAGAGATGATGCCAGGAGCCATCACCTTATTTAACCCAGTCACTATCGGTCAGACAAGACCAACTCCCAGACCCTTCACAGAAATCACCAAAATGAAACACACTAGGCTATCACTGGACAGTCCCAAACTAGAAATCTTAAATTCCAAACAAGAAACATTCCAACAAGTTCTACATAAGAAAGGAAAGGTTCCTAAAGATCTCTCTGATTAAAATCGTCTTAACCTAATCCTTTCTCTGTCTTCATCTGTTTCTTTCCGCCTCTTCTCTCTCATTCTTTTCCCACCTTTTTGACACTAGCCTCTATTTCATCCAGTTGTTCATCTATTCCAACTTTTAGGTTGAGAGGGGAGTGGATGGCAAGGGGAGATGCATCCTTTGCTCTTCTACACCCACTCTACCACCACCACCTTGAAACCCACAGAAGCAAAACCCACTTACAGCCCCTTCTCCGTTGCAGCCTGCTGCTGCCGCTGCTGTGTGGAATCCAGATCTTCTGTAACCTGGTTTGGGTGAGCTCGCCCATCTCTGGAGACATCTTAGGAGTCGCAGCTAATGACATCACTGCCCACAAGGTACCTGGTCTTACTTCCTGTCTTACTATCTTACTGCTATGGCCACAGCAGCAGGTGGACAGGGCCGGGACGAGGGGTACACTGGGTTTCTGAGCCCTCTCAAAGTCTGTCTTCAGTTTTCTCTCCCCTTTCCTCTGGTCCTAGCCTGTCTCTGCTCCTGTATGTACTAGTAGGGGCTTGGGTGCAGAAAGCGAGAGGTTGGGCAGAGGTCAGGAGAGGCCTCTGAACTCCAAGGGCTGTGTATATAGGAGGTAAGTTGGAGCCTAACAAGGAAGGTGCCAGCAACACAGCCCAGGTCTGACCAGTCACTTCCCTCCAATGAAGACAAGACTAATAGAGTATGCAAATAAAAGACCAAAGATCATGTGCTTACAGCCTGTGTGGGGTAGAGAGGCAAAGGTGATGGAGGTAGGTCTCAGCAGCTTTCCCAGCTTTGAAATAAAAGATGGGCCCAAGGAGAGTGTAAAGGTCCAACCCAGAAACAAAGATTCACAACAGAAATGCAAGGTTCCCAAGGACAAAAACACAAAGTCCCTACTGGGGAATGCAGTGTTTTGAGCTGGCAATTAGAGGCCCAAACTGGACGTGGAAGGTCCACTACCTCTCGGCTTCCCCGACCCAAAATGGCATTGCATCCCTTGTATTCCCTGGATTCTGCTGCCCTCCTTGCCACAGGGCCTCTCCCACCTAAAATGTGTTGCCTTGGGCACTCTTGAAGAGATGGGCACTATCTGATCATCTTTCTACTCTCTCTAGCCAAGAACTAAATAAATAGGAGTAAACTGACACCTTTGGAAGAGTGCAGCCATTGCCTGGGGCTGGGGGTGGGGGAATGGTAAGCTCTGCCCACATGGCTGCTAGCCACCATCAGATGCCCAAAGGAGAATAACACTGATGATGCCAGTGACTGATAGAAAATTTCGCTAAAGTTCCTCATGCCAAGCCATTGGGATGGACACTTAAGAGGGTGGAGGTTGCAGCAGGGAGCAGAGAGCAATGGCCTCAAAGTAGGATAAGTCCATAGGCCAGAGTCGTCCAGCCCAGATGACCTGCCCTCACTTGCCCTCTCTCCCGCTTCCCTGACGCGTTGTTTTGAGGTTTTTATGTGTAGAACTCATAGAACTGTACTGCTTTCCTGGATGACATCCAAGTATGCTCTTACTTCACTCTTTTGCAACCTTCCCACCCCCAATGAACCTCCAACGATTGGCTACGAGGAAGCTCAACTTTCTTCCACTGAGCTGGGCTACACAAGGGCAATCTCTTGGGTACAGAAATTTCCAATCCCTGCCCTCAAATGCTCCCAGCCCCACTTTGCCTTTTAAGAAGTTCCCTAAAATACATTTGCAAGCCTTAGTCTACACAAGGGTCAGATTCCCTCCAGTTGTTGTGTATAAATCATACCAAATTTTTAATACATTCCAGAGCCCACCTATCTAAATGAATCAACTGAGACAGCAGATCATCATGGTTAAGAGCAATAGGCTCTGAAGCCATATTACTTGAGTGGAATCCTACCTCTGCCCCTTGTTGGCTATGAGACAATGAGCAAAAGACTAAACTTTTCAGTGCTTTAGTTTTCCTATCTGGAACATGGGAATGATAGGAGTGCCTACCCTCCTTAGCATTGTTGAAGATTCAGTGTGTGAAAAAAATGTAAAGTGATCTGGGAAATGTTAAAAACATATTATCTAACACTGTTACTCCCTGTGGGAGGTAAATGATCAGACACCTCTCTGATTAATCTGAAACTTCTAATGTAATGCTGACCATACAGAAAACCCTCAGTTAAGGAAACTTACAAAATTATGGCAAAGGCTTAACATTTATAATACACAAAGAGCTCCTACAAGTCATTTAAAAGGATGAATCAATTTTACTCTTTTGGTTTTGTGTAAAGAATTGTCAGATCATTTCATCTCACCCTCTCAGGTAAGAAAACTGAGATCTGGAAATATTTTCCTAAGCTCATGTAGTAAATCAGTGGCCAAGTCAGGAATAGAACACTGGGGACCTAATTTCTCCCAGGCCAGGGCTTTTCTTTAATTAATCAAATGAGCCTCATCTAAGAATGTGGTCTTACAGGTTAGCTCAGAACCTCTAGAGTCTCAGAACTAAACTTTGTAAGAGGTACAATTCTCTTAATTCAAATAAATTTCCTAACTGGTATAAATCTGTTAATATTAATAACCTTAATTATAACCCTTTCCCTGTATGTTTTCCATTGTCCACAAAGCAACAACATATCCGTTATCTTATTTGATCCTTACAAACATCCTTGTTAACCTTACAGGGAAACTGAGGTCTGGGGAGGGGAAATGGCTGTTCAAGGTAATCTAGCTGGTCACATGAATGCCTCTTCTATGATTACAATTTTGTCCTCATGATTACAATTTTGTCCTCATGATTACAATTTTGTCCTCATGACCCTGCCAACAGGCAGAAGGATAATTTTAGCAGCAGGAAATCTGAGATAGGAAGCTGGCAGGCTTTTGACAAAGTTTGAAAGGGTAAACCTGGGGTCCAGGCTCAAAAACGCAATTTAAAATTGCCTGGAATTAGCTATGAGATTCCTCACTACAGTTACCAATTCTGATCCCAGAAGCAGGAGACCAAAACAAGCTTTATGGAAAGACCTCAGCTTGGCACTCAAGACTTCTCAATCAAGCTTTGGCCTACCTGTCCAGCCATGTCTCTCCTTAGATCTCCATGCTTAAACTGCACTGGCTGACTCACTGGCCTCCAAAATACACCGTGTATCTTCCTGTTTCTTGGCCTTTGCTCAGCCTGAAATGCCCTTTCTCCTTCTATTCCCAACAAAATCTGACTCACTTTTCAAGGTCTTGTTCAATGTTCACTTCCTCTGGGAAGTGACCCCTGTATCCTTGGGACAGGCTTTGTCTTTGGTTCTTACATTGCTTATATGCTCCTATCTGAGCAAGTATCCACCAGTATTTTCCTGGTCTGCTTCCCCACTAGACTGTGAACTCCTTGAGGCTGGAGACTGGATCTCAGTGATCTGTAATTGGTGTTTCCAGTGTCCAACTCAGGCCCTGGCACAGAGGACAGAGGAGATACTTGCTCGTGTTTGTGCAGTCTACATCTCCCTGCCCTAGATGAGATGTACTTGTGGACAAGTAATCCTAGTTCAACAAGGTAAATATTATAACAGAGAGCTGTGCAGGGAATTGGATGGGAGAACTAACTTGGTCTGAGGTAGGAGGTGGCATTTGGAAAAGTTTTTCTACATTGAATGGGACAGAAACAAATAAATGAATGAATGAAGTCCTCTCTGAAAAGGGCCAATAGATTTGTGGCAGAGAAAGGGTTCAGTGAGTACCAGATTCTCATTCAAGACCAAGCTCTGACCTGCAGCTCTTGGTCTAAAATTCTAAAATGAGGCTATCTCTAGGGAAGAAAAGATTATAATGTGATTTCCCAAGGCCCACAGATCCTGACCCCATGCCCCTCCCAAAGCATAGGGCATGTATATGGGGGGAGAATCCCATGTAAACCAGCATATGACAATGCTGATAGGTAATATAATCATGAATGAGGTCTCCCTATTGGGAGCTCTTACTGTTTGGGTATGAATGCATTTGTGGAGAGTGAAGGTGTGAGGGGAGATCGACCACACGCTTACAAGCTAGGTGCATGTATTTGAGTGTTAAGCCTTCTGTGGCAGTAGCCTAGGATCCCCCTCCTTCTCAGCCACTGTCCTTGCCCACCATCTCTCCACTATTTTCAGCCTCATGCCTGGACCCCAAACTTCACTGAATCCTAGTCCTAGAAGTAGCTCTCCACAGACCATAGTCACACAGGGAGAAATGGAGCTGGAGGGTTTTGGGTGGTATTGCTTGTGGAGCCTACAGAAAAAACAAGATCACTACTCCTAGACAGAGCGAGGAAGTCCTGAAATGTCTCCAAAGAGCTTTGGTTTCTGTCCTTCCACCCTTTTTGATTGTGACAGCTCTCTGAGGAGAGTTGGCTGGAGACTGTGATTTCCATTTTACTGAGGAAGCTACTGATGCCCAGAGAAGCCAGAGAGCTTGTTCAAAGCACCACAGCAAATCAACCCTACTTTATACACCAGTGGGGAGGTAAGAGATACAATCTCAATCACTCAGTTCATTCAAAACCTGACTAGAGCAAGTTACAGAGACTTTCAAAGGTGCTAGGAAATTGCCCTGGGGACCAGTGTCTCACAAAGGCCAGAATGGATTTTTAAAAATGCACAGATAGATAAATAGATGACATATAATCTTTTCCCTCACTTTCCCATGCACTTTAATGCACATGCCAACCAACTACCTATGTAAAACTTTCCAGAGAGCCTGAAGAATGGATGTGGATTTGTGTAAATCCTGCCTACTTTCCCTTCTTTTTCACTTACCTTTTATTCTAGAGGTTTTTTCTTCCATCGCTAATTATCCAACACTGGGTTCTCTTGCATTTATAGACCCCCAAGACAGGTCCAGTCGGTGGCATCAAAGAGGAAGCCTGGAGGTATTCGTTGGTTCCCTGAGAAGGCTGAGGATGTACCCTTGTTAAGTGGGGGGGGTGTACGTGCTCTGTTGAAATATCAGCTGTTGTAGTTGCCAAAGAAGTTCCTGAGCCACCCGAAGACTTTTCTCTTCAGTCCAACCATGTGTTCACCTTGCCCCAAAGGTCAGAACTAATATTAACAAGCCACTGCAGAATGGGGAAATTAAAACCAGCTATGGAGACAGGCAAGTTCTGGATTTCGCTGGGGTTGAGTTTCAGATGGGTCTTCAGTGTAAATGGGCACAATCCCTTACTGGAAAGCAATCTGGCAATATGAAGCAAGAGAATAAAAATGTTCATTTCCTTTGTCCTAGTTATTGCACTCCTGGGACTCAATCCTGAGTCAATAACCCCCAAAGCATGAAAAAGCTCAGGACATACAAATTTTTATTTTATTCACAGAGCTATTTTCTGATAGCAACAACTGGTAACCTTTAAGTCCTCCGGGAGGAAAATCAGTTTACTGGATTTTTGCTGGAACCATTGAGGATGATGGCTCTAAGACTGAAATTCTGGGGAAAAAATAATTATGCTACAACTCTGGGTGAGGAACCTAAAGATGTATCGTTATGCTTTTCCCTGGACATAAGGCATATCCATTACTTCTATTTTTTGTGCTCTCAAAAACCAAGCCATGAACCTGTTGATGCTCTTGTTATTGTCCTTTGTTCATTCATTCACCTGACAAATGTCTATTGCTTCCCAATATATGCTGTGTCCAGTATTAGGGGATGGGGCTAACAAGATGAACCTGACATAGTCATTGCTCTCAAGCTGCTGGCAGTCTAGTAGCAGCAGAAATAGAAGCCACTGATAGCTGTTCATTCTAAGTCCTGTGACAGAATGGACCATACGGTGCTGTGGGGCCCCAGAGGAAAAGTCTTAACTGGGGAGGTGTGCGGTCAGTAAAAACACTCAGAAAAGTAATCCTTGAGCTAATTAAGACAGGGTTTGAATCTTGACTGTACTACTTCAGTGTAAGAAAGAGTGAACTGTGAGAATGAAGTGAATTCACTCGACGTCTCTAACTTAGCCTCAATGCCCCGAACTGGGTTGTCCTGAGAATGAAATGAGATAACATATACAGAAGAGTCATCGATGCATCGGGAGACAATGCTGCTCACGAGCTTACATTTCCTGGGCTTTGATTTCACTTATCTGGGAAACAGAACCAAGAGTAAGTTTGTGTCTGGCTACATCCTTCAGAATGTTAGGCGGGCCAAGACAAATAGGGGCAGGCTTGAGACAGCCTCCTCCTCCTCCTCCCCTTTGGCCCAATAAAGCCAAAGGCCCTCCTCCTAAGTCTTATCTCAGTGGAGCAACTCTTACTGCTCCCTCCTACAACCAGGAACTTCCCCTTGCCCCGCCCAACGCGAGCACAAAGCACCACCTACTCCTGGGGCTCAAGCGCTGCAGCCTTCGGCGTACTTAGGTGGGCGGTCCGCCGCACTGAGGGCGGGGCTTTGGTACTTCGCGGTTCCGCTCAGGGTTCCGTAGCTTAAAAAGTGGCAAGATCCCGTTTGTAAGTAACCGGAAGCACCAAGTGGACTTCTCAGTAGAGGGAAAACGCACTGAGACTCAGGTGTCCGAGCGGGAAGAGCAGGAGCCCAACTAGAAACTCCTCTCGTCATTCATTGCCCCTAGGCTTCCGCTCTGCTTCCTTCAGCGTCCACCAGTTCCTCTTCCCGCCAATGAGAGCTAAGAAAGTTGAAGCCCCGCCCCAGTGCGTCAGACGCTTTTGTGGCACGCACGAGAACGCCTGCGCAAAGGCGCGCGGGAGGCGGGCCCGGCCAACTTCCGAACAGCAAGCCGTTCTCCCGCGCCTTCTTTGGCGCGGACTGTCCCGACCCTTTAAGATGTTGCGTGTGGTGAGCTGGAACATCAATGGGATTCGGAGACCCCTGCAAGGGATGGCAAATCAGGAACCCAACAACTGTGCCGCTGTGGCCGTGGGGCGCATTTTGGACGAGCTGGATGCCGATATCGTCTGTCTCCAGGAGACCAAAGTGACCAGTGAGCGCTCTGAATTCCAGGATCCCTACATACTTTTTCTTTTTCACAAACTTTTGCCTCTTGCTCCATGTAATTTTACTTTCCCAGTTTCCTAGTCTTAGAGTTCTGCCCTTAGACCCAGATCCCTTCCCCCTTAAACGCCCATTTCCCACCCTAGCTGGATCCCCTAATTGCACTCATCTCTCGTCTTCAGCAAACTTTAGCTCCTCCTCCAAACCCCGTATGTAGTCAGATTCCCACTCATTCTCCAGCCCCAAATTCAGTCCCCTGAATTTCCTCCTTCCATAAGCTGTCCATCTCCCCGCACCCAGTCAAACCCCCCAATTCTTCATCCTTGCCCCAAGCTCAGATCCTCTAATTCCCACCCCATCTTTGACCCCAGCTCAGTCTTTGTAGTTTCCTCCTTTTCACACCTCTACTTCACACCATTAGTGATGGTGGCAGGTAGGGGAAGAGGGTTTCCAATATTTGATGAGAGGGTAATAAGAAATTTAGACATTTAGTTTACAGAGCTAAAGCTGCATAATAGTAAGTTATGTGAAATATAATTTTTATGTATAAAATTGTCCCCAAGACCCCTTATCTATCCCCATCTTTCTTCACCAGCTGAAAGCCTCTAATTCCCACCTCATTTCCCACCCCAACCTTAGATGTCCTCTTATTTCTTCTCCCTATTATTTTCCCTCAGAATCCCCTAATTTCTTTTCCCTCCGTCCCCAGTGCAGATCCCCTAATTCCCTCTCTCTTACCTCCCACCCTTAGCTCAGATGCTCACTTTCATATGTCCATCCCCACCTCCAGCTCCCTCCCATCATCCAGACCCCCAGGCTTAGGTCTCATTCTTTTCCCCTCCCACCTAATTCTCAAGCTCCACTTCATAGTCTTTAACTCTCCCCCTACCCTTCTGATTCTCATATCAGTTTCCTCTCTGGCTTTTCCCATCTTTCTAGCTCCTCCTCTAATCATAGATACTTCATTTCCTTCACCCCCAACTCTGGCTCTGATGTGTGCAAGGAATTAGCCTAAAACTGTGATTCCAGGACTTTGTGTTTCGTGCATTCTAGTTTTACTTCTGACTTAATCTTACATTTTTTTTTCCCCAGGGGATGCACTGACAGAACCCCTGGCTATCGTTGAGGGTTATAACTCCTATTTCAGCTTCAGCCGCAACCGTAGTGGCTATTCTGGTAAATGGGGCCTTCTGTGGACTTTAAATTAGTGATGGTGGCAGGTAGGGGAAGAGGGTTTCCAATATTTGATGAGAGGGTAATAAGAAATTTAGACATTTAGTTTACAGAGCTAAAGCTGCATAATAGTAAGTTATGTGAAATATAATTTTTATGTATAAAATTGTCCTGCTGGACCTCAGAAGTACAGTAGTAGTATGGTACTTAATTGTGTGAACTGTGAAGCCAGATGGCCTGGGTTTGAATCATGGCTCATTTCCTAGCTGTGTACCCTCTGGCAAGTTACTTTACCTCTTGGTGCCTCAGGTTACTCAGCTAGAAAATGAGGATAATGTTTACCTTCTAGGGCTTTTACAAGGATTAAATGAATTAATCCATGTGATAATAGCTAATACTTCTTGAGCACTCACCATGTATCAATGTAAAAACTTAGAACATTAGCTGTTATTATCCTATGGCTTTTTTGGATGCAGGAAGTAAGACTCCAGGGTTTGAGTAAGGTTGCCCAAGAGCCACACTTTGTGAAGATGACTTAGGTGACCTGTGTGGGGACAGTTGGAGTGGGACAGGCTGTACAACAGGCTTTTGGCTGCCAGGTCCGCTCAGTGTACCCTGTCTGTTCCCAGGTGTAGCCACCTTCTGTAAGGACAGCGCTACCCCAGTGGCTGCTGAAGAAGGCCTGAGTGGCCTGTTTGCCACCCAGAATGGGGATGTGGGTTGCTATGGAAACATGGATGAGTTTACCCAAGAGGAACTCCGGGCTCTGGATAGTGAGGGCCGGGCCCTCCTCACACAGCACAAGATCCGGTAATAGCTCATATCTCCCTGCTTCTGAGCACTGCTGGTGTGACTTTTTGAGTGAAGATTCTAAGGTTTCCCTTATAAACATACATGCACTGCGGAGAAGTTCCCAATTTGCCTTTCCTCGTTTAGTCCTGGCTGGGCTGCTCACTATATCACCCTGGCAAATTACGTATCCCTCTGAGGCTTGAGTTCCATCTCTGCAGTGGGGGGCTGGCCAGGTGATCCAGCTCTTACTACCACAGACACCTCAAAAGCAACTTAGTGCTGAACTCTCTGCTCCATGTTGCTCTCTTTCTGGGTGTTCTGTCTTTGTGAATAGCAGCACAATCACCTGGTTGTCATCCTTAGATGTCCCTCTCCCTGCCTTACCAATAGTCAGTCCCCAAGTCCCGTGCATACCAGCTCATTTGTGTCTCTTTAACCCTTTTCTTTTCCATCCCAGACAGTCACTAAATGGAAGCCATGTGGTATGGGGAAGGGACAGGAGGGGAGGTTTGAAACTGACTCCTTTTGGGGGTTTTTCTTTTCTCCAGCACATGGGAAGGAAAGGAGAGGACCTTGACCCTAATCAACGTGTACTGCCCCCACGCAGACCCTGGGAGGCCTGAGCGTCTGGTCTTTAAGATGCGCTTCTATCGCTTGCTGCAAATCCGAGCAGAAGCCCTCCTGGCGGCAGGCAGGTACTGCAAGCCTGGGCAGCAAGGCTTCCTTGAGTTCGTCCTGAGTACCCAGCCCTGTGTCAAGCTCCATTGAAAGGGATATGGACCCTTCGTCTCTGAATTATTTCACAGCATAGTTGCAGACCCCAGTATGCCCA